ACAATTTCAAATTGAGGGAAAGTCTTGGCGGATGACACTGAGCAACTCAGTGAGACCGAGCGGCCGTTTTCCCGTGGACACGTCCTGCAAACCGGAATTCGGGTTTGGCGTAGACTTGAAGCAAAGTACATACAACTCGCTGCGACAACGACTGGAGAAGTCGTAGGAATAGCACAAGATCACAACAACACACTCCGCACTCTGAGCATGAACACCAGTGCTCGAATCCAGTGTGGCTCGAGATCCGGATAAGAACTGAAGGCGTGGTCTGCTAGACAGCCTCACTTGTAGGGGTCTGGGCGCCGAGACTCCGCCCACGAGACTTCGGAGAGAGTGCCGGGCCGCGGCTCTTGCTCACACTCTAGTCATGACCGAGCCACAGCAGGCAAGCGTCTGGGAATCTCTACGAGCGACGGAAGAGGAATGTCCGAGGACTGAAATCCGTGAGCTAGTTCACCGAATGCCGACGAAAACAAGTCCCCACCACTCCTCTGCGCGGGAAGCCTCCACTCGATTTCTCATCTGGTCATTTCTCATCGGTCTGGAATCGCAGAGGGCCGATGGGGTTGCGATCGAATCACGAGAAAATTCCGCCGTCAAAGACGTTTCCACGTTCTCTCCAATGTACTGCCGAGGACGGCAACGGAGTTCTATTCTTCCATCTGAGGAGCAAGATGGCCGCTACAGTGCACTTCCGGAGTGTCTGATGGGAATGCTGCTGGATTGCGGCAACGACGGCTCACTTACGAGAACCGGGAGAATCAGGGACCGCAACACCTACCACTACATGGAGTATCAAACGGGGATTTCCCGCCGGGAATATGAGCGGGAGAAGCCGAGTTTTTTATAGGGAAAGGGGGAATACATTCGTCAATCATACATACGAGCGCTCGGATTGGCACCGAGGGCTTCCTCACGGGTTGGTGTTCCCTCAGGACTGGGAACTCTATTTCGCGGCTCTCTTGAAAATGGAGAGACGAATCTGTGGCTCATCCTTGTCGAATTCAGAGATTGAAATTGGGGAAAAACTCTGCTCCAGTGCAGACGTTAGAGATACGAATACAAGTCATCGAGCGATTCGGTAAAGTCAACCAACTCAATCGCGGAGTGCGTGCGCTCCGGTATCCACTCAGGGAGCTGGCGGGAAGGACGACGGCTCAGATTCCGCTCCCAGCCTACACCGCATCGTACTACGTTAGCGAGAGAATGAAGGAAAACGTCACGTCGGAATTCGTATGGTGCTTTGAAGAATTTGAGCTATTCCGGGGCTGGAATCCCGGCTGACTAGGCAACGAATCAAACTCCAGTTAATCACTCTCCTCGTTATCGGAATCGCTGCTGTTGTCGTTGATGTCGAGAGCGTGGACGTTGTCGATAGGCATTCGACCAGAGTGAGCGAACATGCAAAATGTGCGGAATTCCAGCCCGGTCGTTGGTTGCAAGGGCCGCTCAGTCGACATCGAGCTCGAGCGCCCGGGCTCCGGATCTCCAGGAGCCCTCGCGCGCTTTGGAATTCCTGCCGGACGTACAAGATGGGGAGCAGACTCGAAATTTCGGTTGAGCCTCTCCTTCGTCGGCTTGGATCCATCTTCCCGGAACTCCCGTCAGTCTACCATCAGAATATGATCTGAGACTAATAGAGAAGCGAATACTCAATCGATGGCGAGATAAAAACAGATTTTCGGAATGCGATGGGCAAAGAGAACAAATAATAATAATCAAATGTGCCTCTGGAATTGATGAAGCCGGATCAAGCTCCAACCTGGAAGTACGAGAAACAATTTCAAAATTCTGCGTCGTGATCCCGTTCCTTCGATCCAGAGTTTATCACCGACGAGCCGATGAGCGTGTCGACGGAGTGAGGATTCTGAGTGCTTAGCTTCATGCACGTTGCGTGGAGAGTGAGTGATCGGATACTGAGAGAGCACGCTTCGACCCGCCATCGGATCTGACTTTTTATCTTGCGGCGAAACAAAGTCCATTCTTTGGATCTCTCTCCACAAAGGACCATTCGTGGGCGACGTTCATGTTGCAGTATATCATGCTGTATCGTAATTATTGCAATAATCATTAATATTGTGAACGGAGAACGTTGACTCCCGCAGGCAACATGCGAAACCGCGAGATTCCGCTCTCTGTTCCTCGAAGCCGACAAGTATAATCAAAGTCACCCATATATCCGTAAGATGATGGGGTTAGGATGAGATACGAGCAGACTTCTTCTGCTGGAAACGGGTGTACCGCTCTCTGATTCGACACAGAAGTAGCAGAGAATACGGCGGCTCTCAACGAGAGCTCGGTCTTCGCGTATTATACCGCTCATGGGGAGCTGCTGTTGTTCACCGTGATCAGATACTTAATCATTAAAAATCATCCTGATAGCGGATGTGTCTCAATTGGAAGGCGAGCCTCTATTCGACGGCGAACTCGTCGAATCGGATGGGAGACCGAGATTCCGCAATCTGGAAAAACCACCGAGTAACCATTCGGCGTGAGAGCGATCTCCGAATGGGTGTTTGTCATATCGGGGGAGCTCACGCACGCAACCGCGATCGGAGACACCGAGCCGGAGGTGGGACGACACGCGCTCCGCTTCGTGTTTTGTGAATGTAAGCTCGCTGCGGATCTCGCGTCTCGCTTTCAGAACCGATCAGTTGGTTTAGGTTGTCTGCAGATGCCGCTAGATTGAGATAGATCATCGCGTCCGGAAAATAAGAATAACTCGCTAGTTGCTCAGTCGGCAGGCCTATGGCCAACCTGCACGCACGCTTTCTGTTGTGCTTGATGCTTTCTGTGTGTACAGAGGTCTCCAGCTGAGCTTGGAACACGTGCAAACAGCATAGAGAACTTTCCGAGACGGGGCGCTCTCTCAGTTTCCTCTCGGATCTTCCTCCGGGTTCACGGGGCTCGAACGAGGAGCGAACGATATTCTGTCCCAGCCCGAGTGAAGATGGTTCCGTTTGATTTTATCGATCCGCTTAGGCCGGTATTTAGCGCGACACTAACGACGCGATACTTTCCGTACACTCCGACCGACGCCTAACCCGCTCGCTTGGATGCTCGGAGCTCCTCCGGCACGCGGGGCGCCAAGGGTGACAATAGGTGATTTTTCAACAGGATCACCGAGCACGGAGGGAGCGGCCGCGGGACAGCGATTAGTTTTATAAAGGTGGCGCGCACACTTTTATAACGACGCTCTCCAAACCGAAAGCCTTCTACGCTTTTCCAATTTTGTGCTTCTTCTCTTCCTCGTTCCCGATAGAGGATCCCTGCCGTCTGGCGGCTGCGCGGAGCGCGCGAGTTCGATAGACGACCTCGATTCGTCGTAAATCTCTCGGTCGGACTCGTAAAAGCTCGAGTCTTGCCGTTTCCTGAAGGTTTTTGAAGGGCCTCGAGAGCGTTGCCGCAGCGATAATTCGCGTCACGTGCAGCGTCACGCACAGAACTTGTTTAACAAAGCGAGCCATGACTTCCGTTTAAAGCCTTACTGACAGGGAGAGAAAGCACCAATCTGGATGGAGTGACAATTACTACTAGAGAAAGCGCGCCACTGCACGAACGATTGGAAAGTCACGCTACATCAACGCCTTCACGCCAACACTCTTCCGAAGGTTTCTCTCCGACGAGTTCAACTTGGACACGACATCTACATGATGTGGACCATGAGAAGCGATCCTGGACGTTCTCTGGACGCACAATTCACGGCGATGCCATGAATGAAAAATCGAAGCGGGTCGATCCAATCCATCGGTTCCGATGGAAAGTAAATATCCCCCAAATGAAATTCCTCCTTACAACCTACACCAGCAGCCACTGCCGGCCTAAAGTGAGGTACACCGTGCGAGTGAGTAGTCCTAACCCCGCATGCACCTTCGGCTCGAGCCCGAGGTAGGAGCTTGCATGGGAGCCTGTTCAAAAAGGCCTGGGTAGAGGAGGAGCGATAGTTCTTCGTGTTCGTTCAACTGCGTTTCATTAAAGGCTAAAATTTGATCTGCTCTAAAACAATTACCTTCCGCGACGCCGTTGAATAGTTCTCCTGAGTCTCGGTGACGAGAATTCTCTGCGATGGTGATGCTAACTAAAACTGCCGAACTTTTCGCGCAAACACATGTGATCGCGCGTAACTCGGCTTGGCTAAGCATCGAGGAGGGGCGACCGAGAGCATCTGGATACAATAAGAAAAACAACTCGAGACGGTTCCGGGCATAGTAACTGTCAGGTACGTGCAATGTAAACGACGATGCTCCCCCCTTGTTCGACGTCCTCCTCACCCATCTGCTCTCCATCTGACACGTCCCAGGAATGAAGCGCACTGATAAGCAGAGCGTGGTATCGACAACAGAATAGTGGAGGCCGATGCGGGACACGTTATGGGTTCAGCGGGTTGGGAGCCCTCCTCTCGGTTCTTGGGTGTCGCTTTTCACTTACGGAGAGCTCAGAAGGAGAACGATCTACGGCGCAAAAGGGAACCAAGGAGATCCGGTTCAATAGGTGGAATGGCAGTCCGAGAGCGAACTGAGCGTTTTGTTTCCTTTCACGAGAATTCGAAACCCAAGCGTCGCTGTTCGGGAGGACTCGCAAAGAGCCATCGTCATTCGAAGCGGATGTTCCATCAATCCGCGGCGATCGAAGGAGAGTCACCCTTCAATTCTGCCTGTGAGAATCTAGATAAATGTGAGTAGAACACATGAAAGAAATTCTCGATATCAGAGGGTCTGCGGCGTATGCAGTTCGACGTCTCGAGGAGATCAATCGAATATCCGCTTGGCTCTGTTCTCCGCCTCGGTTTCATGATGCTTCCAGGCCGTATAGTCTCGGGGAATGTATTCTATTGTCATTCTACAAGATCACGGTGATCCATGCCTCATTTGGCGCGGATAGAGGTCAAGAGGAATCACACAACAGAAGAACCACCGATTACCAAATTGGGCTTGACTCATGGTCTCCTTGATCTAGGTCCGCCGAGCTTCCGAGCGTGCTCAACTATCCGAAACGACGCACGGCGTCAAGGTTGGACTGGTCGTGGCTCTTCCTCTCTCTCCGAAGCCGCTGAGCGTGCCGAGACGAGCCGGAGTCTCTGAGGATGCTTCAGACCAGCCTGCGCGCTCCTTATTTTCATTCCGATGATCGAGAATCGAGAATGCATGATGGGTCCGCCGCGCAGTCTCTATTCTGTGCGTCTCTGATCAATGAAAGTTCTCGACGATGGTGAATATGAGCCATGTATTTGACGACACGCATTCAGTCCCCCGATCGCTCCCGAATGTTGTTCTTCAAATCGAAGATTTCCGAATGATCTTTGACACGATCTGTCGAAGATTCCGGTCTGTCGCAATCCGACTTGTGGACGAGACCATGATCGCTTGCGCGGAATCAGAGTTTCTCGCGGACTAATTAAACATAACGCCGAGAATCATATCAATGACGTACAAGACGAAAGGTTCGGAAAAAGCAGACAGGGAGACTTCCTTCGGGAGAGAAATAACAATTGAGACTTCTTGAGGAGCTCGGGTCGCGCTCACTCATACACAAACACTCGTACACCAAGAAACTCCCATCGTGAAAGCAGACAGACGATGGACAACCCCTGGCTGCGGAAGGAAAACGGAGAGAGGAGGAGGCAGCAGCAGCTAGCAGTAGATGGAGGAAGAAAAGCGACGCCACTGAGCGCCGGGAATCGAGGAGCCCCCGATGCTGCTCTGGGACGGGGTGGACGGCGGGGCAAGTGGGAGGGAGCGAGGGAAGGCGACGGCAAGAAGCCTCTCAATGTGTGTTCATTTGAGCAGCAACTATGCTTCCGCTGGCAGCACTTCGCACGGGAAGGATAGTCGCGTCTAGGAGTGCCACATAAGAATGACTTCATAATATCATCTGCCTTGCGAAAGCTCGAAATACAGAGGAGTTGTGTTCTCGCGATTCGAGGACTCGTCTGGAGCTCGCGCCCGATCGTAGGGTCTTCCGCTGTAAGTCCGATTGAGTTCTGGGATTTCGTCAGCGGACTCCGTGCTCGGAAGTCTTCGCTCGACCCATCGAGTTCGTTTGGCGGCACTACAGTCCGTGAAGCCTGCCCCGAGAGCTGGCGTTACCATGACAACGCCGACATAAAATTATCATTTCTCCCTGCTGCCAGTGGTGGACGACGTTTCTACCTCTTTGTTCTTTTCCCTCTTCCAATCTCTCGCTCAGTCATTCTCTTGCCCCTCTACTCCTCCGTCGCCTTTTTCGTTATACTTCTCGGGACGTTCTTCGATTTTCCCAGAGCGATCTGCCTCCTGCCTCCTCGTGCGCACTTCGTCTTCCGGATTTCATTCCTCCTTTTTTCTGCGCCTCGGACTTTTTTCATCCCAGCTCCGACTTCATCTATTGCTGAGACCTTGAATGCAGTCAGAGGATTGTGTACCGGAGAACGAATCCCTGTGGCAAATAGCTCAAGCAAATGAGTTCCGAGCGGTGATAATTCCCGTGAAAAAATCATGCTATCTATTCGAGAAACCCTAGATTCCCGGTCAGTCCATAACGGTGTACCTCACGTACGGATCAGTGCTGGCTGGCAGGTCGTCGTACTAACTCCGGGAGAAAAATGCTAAGCTGCTGTTTCTCGAGCAGATAAATCGCTTACGGCTACTCTGGGACCTACGGCATGCATACGCGAGGCCTTCCGCATCGCGAAGCACAAAATGCGTTGTAAGGTGGGGAACGTGCTCACTCAACAACCGAAATAGCTTCACAACCCGTGGGGGTCCGAGAATCTCGTCGGAGCCTCGATGCCGGGGTTCGAAGCGAACCCAATTGCCAAGATTCCGCTCAGTCCATTTCTCGAGGAAAAATATGAATTGGTTTCTCCAATCCGTATTCCGCGCCAAAAAGCATTTTGTGCCTCACGCAGAGAAAATACCCATGCATACGCGGCATCTAAGTCACAGGAGGCAGTCGACCCGATGCTGTTCAGCGTTCGGTCGGTGCTTCAACGACGACGACCCCGAGCCCGCAGAAAGTTTGTTATTCGCAGAATGACGGTCGAAACCTGAAATGGTGCTGCTCGTTCTGATGAATGGAAATCACCATTATATGAATCGGGCGTAGCTCGTCCAAATGAGACAAAGCTGAGTTTCTGGTCCGTCCGCAGCTTGTAGCGCGGTCGCCCATTAAACGTGGTCTTACTAATGACAGACGTTCTCATCATGATAAGCGTGAATGTCTGCCGGTCCGACCGCTGCTCTGCCCACGTCCATCCGTATGCTCAAACGAGTGGACGAAAAGGCAACCGATATAGGCCCATACCAGACCAAAACATTAGTCTCGCTTTCGTGCCGCCTAACGGTACAGGAGGAATGTGACATCCCGTTGCAAACTTCTCATGTCCGCGCATCATAACTCTTCTCCGAATTTCCAACGATCAGGAGAAGGCCCGGATTCCGAGTGAGTTCGTGCCCGGAACGAGTGGAAAACGTTGAACGACGTGGAGATCGAAGTCGCTCCGGCTGGGAGGTTTTATTTTCTCGAATCGCGCGTATCCGATCACGGCATCGCAGAGATATGGGCGCCGAGTTATTGATCGACCATCGGTCTTAGGTTCCTGATGACGAATTTCTTAGTGTCGAGGAAAAGTGTACACCCGTCCCTCATGCGTTCGGGGTTGAGGCATCGTTCGACGAGACCGATTGATGATTCCACGGTTGTGAACGCCATAAAAGTCAGTAGATTTGTTCTCCCCATTTTTCGAAGCAAGACTTCCGAGGAGTCAGACATTTTTTGAAGTCTGCCGAGAGCCGTCAACATGTCTGAAAATCAATGTTGATGTCTATGAGTGCTCGATCTCCGACCTTCTGCGGAAGCAAAGGTTCATCCCGCTTCAAGTATTCATCTGATCGTGAGAGAAATATCGGCATTCGCTGTCCTCACTCGATCCAACGTAGGTGCTATCCATGAAATGCTTGGTGACGTTCATGAATTGGTCGGAGAAGTCGAGCAATCCTACAAGAACTGTCCGGCGGAGTTGACCCCGATCCCTGGATTTGGAACGCGAAAGACACGATGTTCACCTTTCAGCCATGTATTCCGTGGCCGCCTACCACATATCTGAATATCGAACTCCTACCTTACCCCTCGAGAGCATTCAGGGAGAATCGAGATGCCAATCTGATTGAGTCCTGTAGAATATCCAACAGTATGCTTCGAAGAGAGCTGTCGGACAGGAAATCCAGGAAACTTGCCAAGGTCATCTTGGTGAGGTCCGTGCTCAATAAGCTCGCGTTTCCAGCTAGGTCGTGGATGTCTGGTCTCAACTCTGATCCACACTCGATTGAAAGTTGATTCTGTTGGTTATATGAGTGGAACGATAAAATTAATCGAACTTCACTTGGATCAAGATCGATTCGGAGATCGATTCGGACTGATGGCCATGTCCTGACGAGAATTCAAATGTTTCTTCACATCAGAGAATATCGCACCTCTTGGCACGCTCCTCTTCTTAAATCCTCAGCGAACACAGAACACAGTATAGTCGTGAGAAACGCAGAGCTCAGCGTATTCGAGCTTATCCACATCGTGTCGAGTCGTTCAACTCAAGTCTGAAGTACCTTTGAATTTCACCGAATCGATTCCAATCCGAACAGACCAGCCCTAGATGTGGGCGGTTAAGGTCAGAGCGGCAGTCGGCAGTGTCTGCCAACATCCAGGTCACTCGGATCGACTGCGAGACATTATATGGAATTCCAGATCAAATTTTGACTTGAACATCATCAACCCGCGTCTCCTAACCAGTAAGCGATTCGAACATCTCGTAGGTCACGGAAATCATGGCTGAATCGACCTCCACGAACCCATCGTGGATCGAGGGCCGTACGATGTTCTCCCGACTCTCGGTGACATAAGGGAATCCACGCACGTATTGTGCTATTGGCAACATCACGCAGCGGTTTGAGCGAGATTCAAGATCATGACCACAACAGATTCGAGCGTCGATACCAGCACGGTGTACAACCTGTACATTCGGTCATATCGCCAGATACGTCATTCGCGCTTCTTCGGGCGGAGAGAGAGGAATGAAAAACAAGTTTCCCCTAGCAACTCTGTGGAGCCGGTGTACTACGCCGCGCATCTGTCCGATGGCCATTTATAGAAGTTTTTAATCACATGACATCATCGGAGCGAACACCGGTTTGTTCCACTCTGGGAGTGAGGTGGAAGGGGAAGTGGTATAAAGTCGGGTCGAGATCACGAAACGGACCACAAACTATCAGACATCGGACCTGATCGACAATGAAGCTCTTCATCGCAACGATCGCTGTGCTAATCTGCGCCTGGTGCGCCTTGGCTGACGAAACGCCGAGTACGGAGAAGGCTGTGGCGGCTGCGGAAGTTCCCAAGGAAGGCGAAGGCACAGAGGAAATCGACGCAAAGAGAGGTTTCGGAAATAACCGTGGAGGTTATGGCGGCGGTTACGGCGGAAACCGAGGCTACGGAGGAGGATACGGTGGAGGTTATGGAGGAAACCGAGGCTACGGTGGTGGATACGGTGGAGGTTACGGAGGCAACCGAGGCTACGGCGGTGGATACGGAGGCAACCGAGGCTACGGAGGTGGAGGCTTCGGATACTAAGTGATACGTTCCCATACCGACAGGAAACTGCTGCTCACGTAAACGATGTAAATATATCATTACGCCATTGTAAAATAAATTATTGTTACTCCCACTCGAAAGCAGCCGTTTTCCCTTGATTCGGTGTTATCGTGGCGTATTATTCGATTCTGATGATACCAGCTATCCTAACGTAAAAAATAACAGGTCCAAACGGGAAACCAGAAAATCATGCTTTTTTGATGGGGGTTTAATTCTTGATCATAGATACAGCCCGAACATTCAGATTCCAGAGCCCAGACCGAATTCGAGCTCTACCCATCAAGCTGCGCTGACTAGACGTGAAATATTGTCAGCGTGTGAAGAATTCCCCCGGGACACACTCAATAATCTCCGGAGCGATCACTAGACACGGTGGGCTCTCTTTCTCCCGCGATGCCTAGACAATCATGTGATTATCGCGTTCGGGCGAACGTCGCGGGGGCTTTTCTCTTTCCGGAGAGTCCGCGGGAACATCAGAAGTCCCGCAGCGACAGCGGTTGCTGACTCCTGCTCGCTTCCCCTAAACGAAGACTTCTGTCGCAGTCGATCGGAGAGAATGTGACCGGCACCAATTAGATTGATTCTGTGCAATGTGACGTCAGATCACTCGTCTGTGGTACGTCACACCAAACACTACCGAAGACACCGATGACGTCATTGATTCGGCTGCGAATACGAACGCGGTCATGGGGGCTTCGCGAGTGAATACTGTCGTTGTCTCAATCGCTCGTTGGCCGGAGGAGAACAAGAACTGACTGAGGGCAGAAGAGGTACATAGATTCCGCAGAATTTTGCTGAAGTTCCAGATCACAAGAGCCCGCAGGTGCTCGGAGTATTCTCTCGTTTAGGAGCTCGATATGAGCGTACCGTCATCCAGATAGGGATCGCTGAGTGTGCTTGGGGTCGACCGCTCATCGAGGAGTCCCGCCAACAAGTGGAAAATTATCAGAACTTGAAACATGAGAGACTATTCATTCGGCTACGGCGCACCCATACCAACTAGCTCGCTCAATAGTCAGCGGGAACAGCTCCTCTCGACTCAATGAACATCATCGTACCTATATGACTTCTAGAGTCTTGCAATTTCCCCCTTGCTGGGGAGCAATGACGCCAAGGCTCGGGGCATCGACAGCAGGAGATCTCAGAATGCCCATGAGAAAGATCGAGTTGAAATAAAAAGTGCAGTCAGACTGTACCGTGAGTTTATTGGAGCACCAAAAGTCAGCGGACCTTCCGCCAGACTCCTGTTTCTGAACAACAAATCGAAGACGGCGAGCACCATATCAGTCCAAATTGCACTTCCAACAACTGGAACTTGTCGCGTCGAAATGGTTCGTGCTCCACTGGCGTTGTTGAGATTCTGATTTCATCTTCCTGCCGAACCAGCGCTTCCAGAACCAGGGCCGTTTCGTGGTTGGTGGCGGGCTTTTGTGGATTTCGAAAACATACGTTGTTGGAGCAGCAACAGCAGAAGATGCGGACTTCTGGCACGGGAGTGTCCACGCATCTCGGTAAGGATCCAGGGGAGTCGCCGCAGATGGCCATAGGGAACAGTCCACATGCGTTTGGTAAATTGGGGCCCAACCGGCGGGTTCGTGGCCGTGAGCCAGACCGAGCAGTGTCGTTGTCAGTGTGAATGAAAGCAACATTCTGAAGAATCGAACGTGGTTGACATTCTAGCGTCTTTATTTAAAGGGACAACTCAGCGCTTCGATGAATCTGGGAGGGGTGAGAAAAACTTATCTCTAACCTAATGGCTGGCTGGCGAGGCAGTTCCGTGAGGGAGGAGAATTCCCGAGAGGCCTCTCGAAGCTGACGCGATTCGTGATCGGAGAGCTCGACACATATCGCAGAAGGGTTGCACAACGCTCGCCGTTGGAGATGGATCGATGCATCATAAGTCCGATTATAACTCCGAGTAAGGTGCTCGATGACTCGCTTACGGCCAACCAGCGATGGAATACACTCGGAAACCTAAGCGGCAATCAGATCGCATGAATTTTCAGCATGCGATGGTGCTGTGGCGCAGAAGGTCGCGGCGACGCTCGTCGCTACTAAGCCGGCCCCGTGTCACCTCATTTAATTCCAGTTCTGTTTCAATCGAGCTCATTAAATTCGCAGCATGTTTATAACGAATAGATAGCTGGCTCCTGAATATCGGGGGAGACGGAGCCCCATTTTCCGAAGCTGGGGACAGGTCCTCACGGAGGGCTTGCGTTCCAGAGATCGCAGGCGAGGCCGCTGACGAGGGAGCCATCTCTCGGACACAGTGATTACCATTCTAAAGAATCCACATTCGTACTCCTGACAGAAGGGTCAGACCAGGGCTCTTCTCGAGTCGGGGCCCTGCTCTCCAAATATGAGGAGTACCCAGGCAGAGTCGTAAGGGGACTTACAGCAATTTATCTCTTGTGGATGAATGTGACGGATTAATACGCTCGGAAGTATCATACACGTACGGAAGCAAGCGCCACAAAGACCAGCCGAGGGGAATATTGCCAGGAAATCTATTTCGAATCGGAATTATCCTGGTATACCAGGGAGTCTGATCGAACCCGACCGTTGCATCAGTCCGATGAGGCTCGATAATTTGGTTAGGTCCTTCGGTAAGAAATGTAACACAACTCGCAAGATGAATATGGAAGTCTTGAGGAAAAGTCCCACGACAGCCGTCTCCAATTCGCATTCTCGGGATTGTCCCTCTATCGTGGAGTAACAGGTGCGCATATAGTCGAGTACGATCCCGATAAGAAATTCGAAGCCCCTTATGGGAAACTGTAAGAGTCCGCCGAACGCATCCGCCGCGCACCCCAAGCCGACGTCATTCACTGTCTGTATGGTGGGGATGACGATGTCGAGGACTGCAAGATCAATGAAAGGGTCAGGAACGCCATTTAGTTCGTTGATTTCGTGAATTCTCGCGATTCTCGTCACGGCACCAACTTTTGTCGATTTGAGTGTTGTTCCGGAGATCCTTCGCCTCTGTGAGATTATCTAACACGACCAAAGTTTGAAGCATGATCTCTATCGGAAGGATCAGTGGATTCGCGCTGAAAAATAGCTCGGGTCAAAGACGGGCCACGGGGGAAGGATGAATCCGAGGAGCCGCGGAGAAAGGATCTCACGGCCCTCACAGAGGACGAGGAATGCTCACTTGGAAACAGGGTCTGTGAGGACTCCGATGAGCGGCGTGATTGCGTCTGTGAAAATCTCATTTACGGCAGACGTTGCACGGTATCCATCCTGAACTGTTCGAGTGTTCTCGGTGAAGGCTTCCCGAAAAGTGCCGAGGGGGTCAGTAAGCGCATTCCGGAACTGGTTTCCCGCCTCTTGGAACGCATCGGACGCAAGTTTCGCAGGTACAGAAGCGACTTGCTTCGTAAGATCCATCCCCAAGGTCGCGGTACATTGCGAGAGGGCTGTAAGGCACCGTTGGTCCTACAACCGAGGAGTGACCGAGACATCAAACGGGGAGAGGCTTTCACGCGATATCGCTTCAGCACCCCTTCGGGACTTGAGATTCGCCGGTCTCCGACGCATCCCATTATCATAGCGGTATTTCGGATGAACTCCCATCGAATCTTGGTGAACACACGGACAACTAAACAGCACTTACACAGAGTTGTTGCCCGGAGACGGTAACCAAAACCACCGCTGCGACAGCCGATCTGAGATACATGATGATAATTCTCGTCGAACGCATCCACCACGAACTAGAACGACACCTTCCACAGTTTTCTGGAATGTCCGTCGTCTGGCAAGCCCTCACCTAGCACATGTGAAACGCATTAGGCGATTCCGCACGACGTACTCGACCTATCCGGATGACGCTGTGTCCGATGAATTTTCCGAGAAAACCACGGCTGTACAAACAGGATCGTCATCTCCTGCGCAATCCTGAGCTGATTGAACATAAAATCTCGGCATGAAAAATACGTGCCTAGTTTTGGCGTCAGCGATTGCGTCCGCATCTTTTCGAAGAAACAGCGAAGATGGTTCTTACTCCGAGCGGGCAGCTGGCTTGTCAGGAGAGATCGCAATGAGCGAAGAAGGGAAAAGCTAATGCCAGCTGCGGACAAGGGTCAGGGCAAAACTCCAGGGTAACTAGGAATGTTACGAGCTACTCTGACTAGGACCGCATGCATGCTATCTCAACTTACGGAATAACTGACAGACATTGAGCTTTCGGACCATGTCGCGGATCATTAAACATTTGTGGCTATGTCATAGCGAAAATTAGCTCGGACCAATAATTCGAGCTGGATCAGAAAAAGGATAAATTGTCCCAATGAGCGGCGACCAGGTAGATCGGCACCACGGTCGTGACGTGTCATCGTTAGGCGACTGATACGGACGCAAACAAGTCTGCAGAGAATCTGCTTGGAAAACGCGAACGAACAACGGTCCGGTCTCGGCGAAGCGCGCGAGCTAGACGGCGCATTGGAAAAAGGTTTATCCGGGGGAATCCTTCGAAACCCTGTGGTGATCTCCTGGACAGTAATGGTTTCGGATGCATCGGGGAATATATTGCTCCGATCGCACTTCTCTCATCTCGGATCAAGCGGAGGGGATCCTCGATTCTTCGATGACTCCTCAACAGGCTGGAGTCGCGATGATTGATTCCGCAGACGGCGGATTATCGTCTCCAGCTATCTGCAAGAATTGCTCCCATTCAGACATGACAGCCTTGTCGAATTCTGGATGATTTTTATTACACTGCAGACTCCTGCGGGGATGAGATTTCTGGTACTTTTACCCGTCGTGGGACGGGGTCTAGAGGAATCCAAAGATGAGAGTCCGCTGGCCTGTAGAAAATAGCCGACGCCTTTCCGGAAGCGATTTCCCGATGGACAGCTGGTAGAATGCGTCGGTAGAACGTGGTGACTCGGTAGCTCCGTCGCTCTTTTGTCGCTCATCACAACTTGGTGAATCTTTCTCGCAGTTTTGGACTCGGAGGCCGGCTGATGTCGGCTAGATGATCGACACCCGAATGAGGTGTCTGAGGAATCAATCGGAGCGAGTCTCCGTTCAGCTGAAATACGCTGAGGCTGAAGTCCCCGGTGGATTCAAGCTTGGCAGGGTGCTTTACGAGGAAGAAAAAAAGGAAGATCAGATCGAGGTGGCCTAGGCTCTCCCGGGCCAGGGGCCTCACGGTCGGAGACTCACCCGATCTCAGCAGATTGAGAGTTTTTTCTCCTGCTCCGCAAACTCGGATCACTCCCGCTTGATATTTTTATTCTAGAAATTTGATTCCGATCACAGGAAAGAAATCAATCTTCGTCCGTCAAAAATTCTTTCAGAGGTCTTCCGAACGCTTTAACGATGAAGGGAAGACCCTCAAGTACTTCGAGGGCGGTCAGTATCGTTTCCTGGACTCGGCCACACTCCTCCGGTGGATTATCCGTCGTTTGGCACTTCAAAAGGTACCTCAGAGCGATGTCGTTTAGGTACAATACTGGAAGATAATAATATCGCCGGAATCCACCGATCCTATTCACGACTTTGAGAGCCTGCCCATTGATATGCATGAGGTCCGGGGTGATGGATGATATCGCTGGAAATCAGCGAAAAGAATGGGAAAGAATATCAGTCAGTCAGAACTACTCTGAGCTTCGCGAAGAATGTCCAAACTTATTCTACACAGGGATCCCAATAAGCCACTACACGCGCCGACAGTCGACTTGCAGGAGGGGCATCTCCGATGTCTATCCCTATCCTTGTGGAGAAGCGGTTGTCATTTCAAGACTCGAGCGACCTAACGTCATGTATTCATATGCGCAGGTGTTTACTTGCGAACGAGTCAGGACACTTTTTTCCCTGAATGCAAGGTATTCGGAAGCGACCCCTCACTTTTTCGGAGGAGTGGGTTATCGGTGAAATTCTCGCTCGAGATGAGAAGTCGCGCCGCCGTGGACGCGAATATGATCAACTCGGAGCTCGTTGCGCCGGGGCTGGAAAATTCCAAATCATGAAGAAAATTCTGTTCATCCTGTTCATAGGAATTCGATTCCTATTTCATCACTTCGATCCTCCTCTTTTAGCAACCGGGGATTCGGTGTTGCTTACTCATTCAGCTCGACGATTCCGTCGATGCCCATGGAGAGAGCAGCCATAGCTTCGGTCAGAATTGCTAAGGAGCTCCTCCCCCCTTGTTGTAGAAACTGCACGACGCCCTATAACATTCGCTGGATTACAAAAAAACAGTCATCTCCCGAATTCGTTTAGAACTTTCATCAAATACAAAATCTTTGAGCTGTCTACCCTCCATGTGTTGACAGGGTCGCTCGCGCTGTTGAATGTCAATTTCAAGGGGATCTTCACCGCAGTTTTGCTAATTTCGGTCAGAGGGATCTCAATAGCATCGTAACATGATAAAGCATCAATCTGAAAGTTAATGAACGTTCGGCCTTATTCGACCAAAACTGCTAGGGAGCCCGAGTTAAGCTCAGAACCTGTATCGCGGGAGGTGATATGGAAGCCTCTCTTTTCTCCCTTAGCTCCTAGATGCAGTAGCTTTCTCTCTCTCCCAGCCAGAGTGACTTCTACATGTAGCCAGCTGTCCGCGCCGATGATCCAATTTCCGTCCACTGGAGCTCCGCGATCTGATCTAGACTTTCCCAATGCTATCAGAGTACAATTTACATTCTATTCCGAGAGAGTATTCTCAAATTGGAATGTGACTCACATCAATTTCGCACCCGGGCGCGACAGCCGAGCAGGAATTGGCACATAGATAGAAACAGAGGAAAACTTCGATTTTCATCACAGTTCAACACTGACGATGGGTATCAACGCAGGCCTCGGTGTTCAATTGTTCGGAGTCGCCAGTGGTCTGCAAACGTTGGCGTGATCGCACTTGCGAGAGCAGATCCACCTCCCTCGTTCCATCGGCGGCGAATAGATGAGCAAGACAATCCCAGGAGTCCCGTCAGTCTCATATGAGAATGATCATCGGAGAGACGATATGATGTTTCGTTTCCGGGATCGCAGACGCGCTCTCGGCCCTTTGACCTTAGAGGGAGAGAATCGATGTCCATTCAACGGCATTCGTGGGTAACAACTTCGTGCAATCGGAGAGTGACCAACGCGTCGGCGGAAACATTTCCTATTTTCTCCTCCGAAAAAACGTTCAGTTTCCGCGGAACTGACCGTCTGTTCCAGAACTAGAATTCTCCCAGGTATCTGGAGTGAACAGCTTCGGGGGTAGAGGAGGGAGAAGGGTTGTGATTCTAAGACGAGCGTGCGATTACACCGTTCTTTGAACTGCCTCATGTGCCGGAATATTTCGGGAATCGAGCTAGCCTCATAGACTCAATCCGGATTTTCTAGGAATTTATGAAGGTAAGCTCGGCACTCGATCACTGCGGCAGCCATTGATTTTTTTTATCGAAAGGCGGGCCTTAGCTCGTGGCGAAAACCGATGCAATTTGGTTGAATCGATCGGAGTTCGACTAGAAACTGAGTGTTAATGAAAGAAGCCGTCCGATGTCCAAGAAGCCAGTCGTAATGGACGCACTCACCTGGTTGACTATCGACTTCGTTCATTTGGAGACGAGTTCGATTGGACCAGCGTCCACTAGGACTTCATTAAGCGTTAACGCTCACACAATGTATTAGTCGCGCTGACATCCGCGCGGCTCCGGATGCGAGATAGAAAACCGAGAAGGTTCCGCTTTCGAATAATTGGACCAGTAACTGCTCTGACGCTCCAATACTGATGAATCTCGACTGATGGCGAGAAGAACTGAGAATTCGATCTTCTTAATCTCAATGAGAAGTTTGGCTTCGAGGATGCCATCTTTTAAGGGCGTGCGGTCCATTTCAGAAAAAGTGCTCCGGAATCTCAAGTCCGGAATGAGCGATCGAGGTCACGGGAATTCTTGCGGAGGATTCCTGAGTTCCAGTTCAAAGACAAGCCTTTATTTTCTATGGATAGGCACAAGTCTTTTGCTTCTCATCAATTGGTTTCCTGCCGGAGATTTCCGTCCGCTTCTCATTTCGTATTTTCTGCTCTTAGAACGTGACGCTGAACTTTCCCTGTTGTGGTCTTTGGCAAGTTGTCTCTGAATTCGATCACCCGCGGATACTTGTACGGTGCTGTGTGTTTCTTCGTGAAGAGCTTGATTTCTTCGGCGAGTTTCTCCAAATCGACGCTGCGGTACTGCTCTCGGAGCACAACGAACGCTTTGACAACCTCAAGCCTCTCCTTGTCCGGCAAACCCACAACCGCAGCTTCGAGGACTGCCGGGTGTCTCGAGAGCACCATCTCGACTTCGTGAGGCCCGATTCTGTAACCAGCTGACGTGATCACGTCATCAGCTCGACCAACGAACCAGAAGTAACCGTCTGCGTCTCGCGTGACCTTATCTCCGGTGAGATAATAATTACCAGCGAAAACCTGCGCGGTTTTTTCCGGGTTGTCCTTGTAGCCTACGAACAGACCTAGCGGATGTCTGGGTTTGATTCTGAGCGCAAAATGTCCGACTTCGTTCGTGCTCACGGGGTTCCCGTCATCGTCGAGAACCGCTATCTGGAATTCTGGCGCGGGGAGACCCATCGAGCCTGGTTTGGCCGGGAAGTCGGGATGCCCTGTGCAAAGCATCAGAGTTTCACTCTGACCATACCCCTCGCGGATCTCGAGCCCGGTCCTCTCTTTCCACTGATTGAAAGCGTCGCCATTCAGCGGCTCGCCTCCGGAATAAACTCCGGTCAGAGCCTTGAAGCGCAGATCCGCCTTCTCAGACAGCAGCATCCGATAGACAGTCGGCGCGGAGCTAATCCTCGTGATGGGATATTTTTTCAGAACATCGAGAAGTTGATGAGGGCAAAACTTGGCACTTTTGTGCACCACAAACCCGGCCCCGGATAGGAACGTCGGATAGAAGCCAAAAGCCGTCTTCGCCCAGCCGGTATCCGCCGTACAGAGTAGCGTGTCGTCTGAATTTAAGCGAAGCAGGTTCGTGTCGCTCGTCATATGAGCCAAAGTGTACTCGTTGGTATGCTGCACCATTTTCGGGTGACCCGTGGTACCGCTCGTGAAAAACACCATTGCCGGATCATCGCTGTTGGTGTCGGCAGCATCGTAAGAACTCTTGCTCTTTTCGATTAAATTGTTGATGTTCAGCCACGTCGCACTCGATGTCGCCGCGGCGCACAATTTGAATCTCACCGGACAGTTCGGGTAATCAACTGCCTGGTCGACGCCTGCGACGTTGTCCGAGATCACTACACTCGGCTGGAACTGCCCTATACGGAAGCGGAAATCCTCACCGACTGCTTGAGTGGTCACAGTTGTGAATTCTATACCGGCTCTGAGAGCGGCTAACGTGCAGAGGAAGAACTCTGGACATTTCGGCAGACTGATGAGAATTTTATCCCGACGAGATAATCCGAGCTCATTCACGAAAACTCCGGCGAGCCGCTGCGTCAGCTGTGACAGTTCGGTGTAGTTGATTCTACGCTCGTCACTCGCTCGGTCACCGACCACGTAAAGAGCGGGGAGAAGCGGGTTCCTCCTGAAGGATTTCTCGTATGACGCCCAATGGTCGATTACGTCCCGCGCGAAGTTGAATTTTTGAGGTACGACTCCTGTGAGTTTGTTGTTGATAATGTTCTCTATGCTGATCTCTTCCTTCAATAGAGGCAATGTGCCTTTTCTCGGCAATGTGTTACTCACATTGTGATCGGCAGTGCGTCGGAGACCCCTTAGGGTCCCCAGTGACTTACTTGCGTTCATGTCTCGCCGTGAACTGTCAAGCTTCAAAGAGGCTTCCTAGGCTCACCGATATCTGGGTTACCGGCTCAAGACATCCTCCTCTCCCAGTCGCTGAATCAGGCGGCCGGCGCAGGACCACAGTGCATTGAACTCATACTCTTTTCGAGATCACTCAAAAGTCACAACAATCTCGTTGTCAGTTTCGGCCTGGAAATCATGGGGCACATCATCGACGGCTTGTGAAGCCGCGACTCTTGCTTCGCCAAACAGATATCCCCGGGGAAGCAACACCGGAAGCTTCGATGGACTACTGCATCGGAGTACGAATCCACGAACCGGAGGATTCACCGATGCGTATGAAGAATAACGGCGAAAAGTACACCAGATGTGTTCGATCCTTCGAAGCCGACAGATATCGACCTCAAAATAATTTCCGAAGTCACTCGGCCCTTGGGGCATCATCGATCATCGGCCCCATGCTCGGGCACTTTAGGCAGTGGTGCGCCCGAGAGAAACTCCCTCCAAGGAAAAACTTAGTAGCCCCCACCCCCGTCTTTGATTCCTCATAGTTTCTCTCGAGCCCACCCGCGGTGCCGGGTGGTCGGACATCCCGCAGGCGCCAGACGCGGAGCAGGAATATCGAACATGAAATCCGTAAAAGCGTCACTAGCGAACCGGAACGTGGGACGCGGACGTCGCGAAGCTGTGATTACATAGCAGGAGATTAGGAAAATCTAGGAGCGAGCTGGACAGAAAACGCTGATGCTGCGATGAGTTTCGGATCCCGAATCAAGATTCGAACGTTCCTAAAGCGATCCGTTTATGACGCCTTCAGCGTTATCCTGACCTCAAGTCGAAAGAAGGGTTATCGGATTAGATTTAACAGACTAGGTAGCTCTCATTGCAGGGAGTCGGTCGAGAGTTGAATTGAATCAGAGGCTGAGCCCTCCTTGGAGTAGGACTGTCCTGTCGATCACCGGCCCTGCTTCGGTTTCCCGTTTTCAGCTTCAGGAAACTGGCGCTGAGCCTTCCCTGCTGTAGCAGTACAACGAAGGCTTCGACGATTTCACCTCTCTCCCTATCGGGCGAAGCGAGAACCGCAACTTCGAGAACTGCCGGATGTCCTGGGAGTATCGTCTCAAATTCGTGAGGTCCGACTCGATAGCCAGCTGACGTAAACACGTCGGCACGTCCAACGAACCAAAAGTTACTGTCTTCGTCACGCATGACCTTATCTCCACTGAAGTGATAATCACCAGCGAAGATCTTAGCAGTGTTCCTCGGGCCGCTATTGTGGCCCGCGAACGAGCCGCGGTTTGATTTTGAGCCCGAAATGACCGACTTCGGTCCATTTCACCGGGCGTCCATTATCATAAAGCATAAAGTCTGGATTACTTGTGCAGCGCATCGAAGTCTCATTCTGACGATAACCCTCGCGGATCTCGAGCCCGGTTCTCTGTTTCCACCGATTGAAACAATCGCCACTCAGCGGCTCCCCTCCAAAATAAACTCCGGCTAGAGCCTCGAACCGCAGATCCATCAGCTGACCACATAAGGACTCGCGATTGAGCTGCACTATTTTCGGATGTCCGGTGGTGAGGAGCACCGGATAGCCGGATCACCCCTTTCGATTTCGGCGGCTACATGGGACCTCTGAAGTTTAAGAAGTCGATTGTTCATATTCAGCTCTGTCTCTCTTGCGGCTTGGGAAAAATACAAGTTGAATCTCACCGTACATTCTGGATAATCGGTCGCCTGGTCACCACTGCCGATGTTGTCTGAGATGATGATCAATGATCACGGTCGGTTGGAGTAACTCGATGCGGAAGCCGAAATAGCTCCCGACTGCCAGAGGGGCCACGAGAGTTTGGAAATTCTGTTCCGGCGCTCAGAGCGACCATCATGCTAATGGAGGAGAGCTCCGGACACTTCGGTCAGTTTTTGAGGATTTTATTTTTGTGAATCAATCCAGGTTCGTTTATAGACGGTACTGCGAGCTGCGAAAACTCATTGTACATAAGTAGTTGGTTCTTGGCTCGTCAACAGGTCGGTCAACGACGGTATGCAGAGCAGCAAGATGCGGGTTTCTCTCAAGCAATCCCTATGAAGCCCACAGGATGATAAAGTTCCGTGCAAAAATGAATTCTCGAGAAACCAATCCGTTGAGTTTCTCCCTGATGATTTTCTCGACGCCGGTCTCTTCTTCCTGTGAAGGTATGGCCCTCGGTCTAGAGTCTAGTCGATGCGATCCGCCTATCCCGATTCATCGGACCGGATTCATCAGCAGCTGATCGTCATGAAATGAGAATTCCTCACGCAATAAACATAAAGCTCCCAAATGACCTCATCAATGGAGTGTCCTATCTGTCGAGGACCAAGTTCCGCTGGAAAAATTCCCAGAGAAGAAGATGATCGGGAAATGGAGGGTGAGTTGGATTCATTGACGGCAGGAGGTGAGAAAAATTACCGAGCCAGCATTGTAACATTAGAACATGGAATCCAATAAGATTCGGGAAAGTACCTACCTTAGAGGAGGGAGCTTCCGACTCAGTGAGACGGCTCCGAGCGTTGTTTCCTGCTCTCAAAGACAAATGAGTTCATTTTACTTCGAGAAGTCTTCTTTAGCGAGCCATTCCGGTTCTGACATTTTCACCCTGGTCGCTCGCCTGATCCCCTCACTTGATAGCCCGGTCCGCCAGCTCCGAAAAAACGACTCAGCGGTAATTTGCCAAGGCCCAGGAATTCCACTAACGAAGATCAGACTCTGTCAGCTTATTTCGGAGCTGGATAAGCGATGTCGTCCTTCGCGACGCCCTTTTACCCAAGTTCCTCTCGATGTTAGCTCCACGTCTTATTTTCCTTGGCCTCGGTCCTATTTCTTCGACTTTTCCGTTGTCGTCTCCGTTGGCCGAGGGAAAGCTTCAAATTTCGAAAATTCTTCCCTTTCGGTTCCAGCTTCTTTGACCGATTTTTCATTCCACCGTAAAGTGTCCAAGTCTCATAATTTGTCCACCGCGACGGTATTCTGAGGCTTTGAGGCGTCCACGAACGACTCCACCGACTCGGAGCTGCATGTAATTCGAGAGACTCCCTCGAGAATCCCATTGGCCGCTACACGGTCGGTCAGCGAAGTTGCTCACCCCGTTGCATCATCACCCTCGAGCCGGTGCTGCGTCGGGCGGCAGCCAAGCAAGCAGCAACGCAGGTTCGGTGGTAACCACAGGATGGGGCGTGTCCCCAGAATTGGGGTTCTCGATGACAGGCAAGAGCGAGACGAATTCAAATAACAATAGCGTGTGCGAGTCAACCTCTATCGGTCTGTGCATTTGAGGGATCGTCGACAGCATCCTCCGGTCCCTTCGCAACTCCCCGAGCCCCTTTATCCTATTCACAGTGCAAATATGGAAGCTAACTCAAATTGCCCAGGTGTGTGAGTGTGCGGGACGAGTTTTTGCAGCGGATCACCTCTGCCTTTTTCGATTAATAAAATAATATATGCTCTTGGGTAAGCGGAGCAATAGGTTTCGTTTCCTGAGGCACATACACTCTGTTGACCAGCTCGACGATTAAGAACGATTACGATTATTATTATCAATGATCGATGCCATG